TTTGTGAAAGGTGCAATATAGACAGCACGTGAGAACACAACACTCTGTTTAACCACACATTTGAGCTAACACAGGCAAGCTACAGTGCCAACTTGCCCTTGCTGCCTGCTGTCATCTAGGGGTCAGAGTGTAAATACAGTCTCCAGTCCTATTCAGTCCATGGCACCTTGCTATTAAGGGCAACATTTATACTGGTGGGTTTTGTGAAGTAGATATTTGATAGCTATGAACTTATTAATAGTATTTATTTGTACTACTGTCATATTGAGAGGCCCCAGTCGGGAACTCAGCCTCCATTGTGGTATGCACTGTGCAGATAGATGAAAGATGGGCTCTGCCCCAAAGAGTATACATTTAAAGTAAAACTGCACTGATGCTCCTCACTTGTTTCACACGGGACTCCAAGGAGCTGTCAAAGAGTTGTTGATCATTATTCCTTGGCTGATTCAAAATAACTATCAACCACAAGGAAATGTTTTTTCCCCATTACCAATCCCCTAGCCCAGGGGTAGTCAATTAATTTTTTGTCAAGGTCCAAATTCTTGGTCAAGGTATAGTCACGGTCCAGGCTCCAGAGAAAATAATAATAATGATAATAAGAAGTAAATAAAAAGATTCTGGAGTCCAGTCAAAAGTGTCTGGTGGTCTGGATTTGCCCTCAGTCTGCTTATTGACTACCTCCGCCCTAACCCATCTACTAAAAACACATTCAAACACACACACTCTGAAAACAATACTGGTAATCACAGAGAACACAAGGAAACATGGATTGCTGATAGTTACAGAAATTTCCAGGGCAGTTAGATTTTTTTTTGCTTTTAATTTGGCAAGTATCAGCTTGGTCTGAGCAACTAATCAGATAAAACATTGGTAAGAGCTGGAGGAGTATTACTAAAGTGGTTAGGTTTAAGGTGGCCAAGATACATCCAAAAGAAATCTCAATCAATGCAAAAGTATTTTAATCAATTAGGCTGTTATCTCACATCTCAAATTCCTACATCTGGTAATATGTATCAGAATCTTGTTGATTACTAATAAACTCATCTTTCTTTTGTGGTTTAAAGGGACAGTGTCAAGTAGTTTTAACCCAGACTAAAAGTTAAGTGTCAAAAAGAAACATTTTACATAACTTAAAATCCATAGCAATATTTTAATGATTAAAAAACCCAATAAAAAGTTTGTTTTTTAATATAGATAAATCTCTGCATTGTTTGAAACTGAAGGACCCAAACACAACTTCATTATAGAGAATGAAAAAGTGAACATGGACTTTCAACTCCAAGGGAAACTGACCATTCTCCATTCTTTATGGAGTGAAATGAAAAATCACAAGTTTTGTCTTTTAAAGTAATAATTCAGACACTTTTTGTGTGCTTCATAACAAAGAGTATGCAATGAAATGTGTGCATTTGTCTGTGTGTCTGTCTAACCCCACTCTGCTCCAGATATGTCCAGAAACAAATTCAAGTGTAGTCTGAAAACTAAAAAGATTTTCCAGGAGTGAACTTTTAGGAGTCTGGCTTGGTAAGAAGTTAAGGTAGAGGATAGCAGTTTGGTCCAGAAAGGTAAACTCAGTTCAGCATTGATGACCAACCCATTTCTGTGTCAATGTAATAATGGGCAACACTCTGCAGGTAAAAACTGGCTGCTTTACACCAGTTGAGAATCTAGTCTGATGTATCCAGTCAGTTTATAAAAAGATAATACAGATTCACTGAACTCTTTCAATCTCTGACCTAAGGTCTTATTGAGGTTTGGCTTGGACCTTGATCATAATTCTGGGTAGCACTCATTCCTTCCACAGTATCAATACCCAAAATACAAAAACGAGGTACCAGTTTCTGAAATTTACTTTTTGCCATTGATTAATGAGTCAATATGGGAGGATGACAGAAACTCTGATAACATCAGATATACTGTCTGAGGAAATTTCCTTCTGTGATCAGTATTCGGAGCCCTGAGGGAGTATGACAATATGTTATCTTTGGGATTTACTGTAGGAAAAGCCCTGATACCACATACCACACAATAGAATACTTTTTGTCTCAGAAAGTTCACATTTTTCCCCTTGGCCTTTTTTGAGTTAGAATTTGGACAAATTAACAAAAAAACAACCCCCCATTACCTTAATAAGGGATTGTACAATAGTGTTTACAATACAACAGCAGGGGGAATGCTGAAATTGCACCCCAGGTATTCACAGGGGAGATAACCCCTTGGCTTCTCTCCTCATGGGAGACCCAATCACAAGGCAGAATATATTACACAGACTTCTGCCTTCTCCCTTGCTAACCTCATGTGCAAGACTCTTCCACAACTGGGTACCTAAGTACTGGAATTCTGATTCAAAACCAACATTGTCAGAATGATAGCCCCAGGTCAAGAAACCCCTCTCTTGATGATTTCTGTTGGCACATTTAAACTGAAATTATTCAGCAAACAATACCGTTAGCATCCATTAAAATTCAGGCTGATGATAAATTCTGTACACACTACCTTTAAAAAAACCTATTTTCTGCATATGTTGTATAGTTGAAAACATATGCACATTGAGTCTCCAGTGGTTAACCTTTAATTTCGCTCCAGCTCAGATTCACTTAAATATTCAGTTTTGACAGTCATATTTTACTGGATAACTTAAGACCTGACCTAAGTAAAGACCTGACCATATACTCACTCTCTCTTCATGTTTATTTAATATGCTACCAGAATCAGAACATTCCTGAAAACATCTTTCAGTATTTGTCCTCTGTTTTTCACTCCTCTTTGATTTTTTGTATCTTTAAATAATCTTCAGTGTTTTGCCTCAGGAACAAAAATCTCTCTGACTTGAAATCTCTAGAAGTGAACTTGAGAGAAAGCTCACCTCTTCTTTGTAGGGACACTCAACATTTTTGCATGGTTTTAACACTGATTTTTTTAAAAACTGAAAAATCAAAATGATGAGATCAGCCTTTATAAATGTGTTAAGTGACAACTGAATGCACATGCTCATCTTATTGGACTTTAATGTTTATCTCATTTTCTCTATTTCAGGCTGTAGCGTTTCCTCATAGCCTGACTAAAAGTTGTTTGCAGTTTCTTTGTTCAGCCTGGAGGATATTGCCATTACCTTGCAGAAAAAGTTCTTTAAACTCTAAACGCTGGTGGGGTTGAATGGCTCAGGGGACTGGCAATATTGTATCAAACCTTTTATCAACGGCACTAACTCAGATTTTGCCAGCTTGGTAGTGACCAAAAGCTATTAACACTCGAGTGGCCTGTGTCAAAGGAATTAGTGATCCCCTAGACCATTACATGGAAATGATTTTCTACGTCACAGAACCCAACACCCTCTATTGGCACCAGCTGGGACACCATCAGTACTTTTGGAAAATCAGGCCTCTTTAAAGTGTGCACCCAAATACTGAAGTTCCCAAAATCACAAGCTACTTATGAAACTCACAGCCCTTGTTGGCAATATCAGTGAAAGATCAAGGATTCAATAGGCACGAAGCTGAATTCCCCTTTGGGGTGGACCCCTTTAGGTCATGGTTAAGAAACTCTGTTAGGCCAGTATGGAGAAGTTTGCATGGCTGCCGCCTATTCTTTACCTTTTGAATGAATAAATAAAAGAGTTCAGTCTCCAGGGCTGTCAATCCCTCACCTCCAGTAGAATTCACTAATATAAAGCTGCATACGTTGGCATCCTGTTTTGGAGTATCAGTTTTAATGCATGTGTCATGCAGATGAGTGGACTATGAAAAAGAAGGACTCACTGAATCAATATAAAAGGTGTTGGATCCAACAAAGGTGATGGCATCATGGAGCTCGTAGTTGTGTACTCCATTTTGGTAATCCTGGTATGGGATCACCGTTAGAGCAAACGGGCCCACACTGTGTTTGCTCCAGTTGGTCAGCTTCACCTCCAATGCGATGGGGTCCCCAACTTTGCAGTCTACTACAATATCACAGTCACAGACCTTTCCATCCACCAAGACATCTGCAATACAAGAAATGAATTTCACATTATTTAGGACTTTTGCTGTAGGAACAGCACTAAAATTGGTCTCCATGAGAATCCTGAAAGATGCACAGCAACAATACACAGCAGTTTAGGCTATGGAGTAAAGACATACACTGTGTAGCTATCTCAGAAGGCATTCTAGCAGGTATAATGTAATTATGAAAATTAAAATTTAGTGAGGATCCTAGGGTTTACATCTTGTCTCTTGCAAAAAATGCCATGGAGTCTTTAATGACAATGAAGGAGGCATCCAGTAAGAAACCCATGAATTACTTTCATTGACCAGTTGAACATTGTGACCTATTACCTGTCAGCGGCTAATTGTCCACCTCTATAAGAGGTAAAAACATTTGTTACATTTTTCCATACACAAAGAACAACAGACACTTTCCGGGTGAATAGCTGCCAACCCCATTCTACTGGCTGGTGTGCTAAAGCTACAGACTTATACTCACCCTGCCTCCTCTGGGGATGTTAGCACAATCAGTGGTGCTATTTGGAGCCATCCCTGAGTTTGGAGAGACTAGCCCTATGCAGAGGTGGAGGAGGCGGCAGCTCCTTGCACCCTCATGCAGTGCAAACCATAATCTGGCCCTATGTGAGCTGAATTTCACCTGCTCTTTATGCATAAGTATTGAGCAAAAAGAACCAGGTAGTCAGCTAGGGGAGTGGGCAGGGGTGCTATACACAGTTCTTAAATACAAACTGTAACTGGTGATAGATCCTGTTCTGGATGCCCACATGTCCATGTGTCATAGCCAGAAATAAATCTCCCTGTTAATAAGGTGACCTGTTAAAGCAGGGCAGTCTCTGTTGGGGTTTGCAATGTGATACATCTCTATCACATACAGTACACTAATATCCAGCAATAAGAAAAAATGGGATTTCAAAATGTTACAGGGGTAATAAAGCTTGTCTACTTATTGCACTTTATTTCATTCTGAGATTCTTATTTTTTACTTTACAGTTTTCATTTATTTCTTTTTTCTCACAGAGACAGCAGTAAATATAATGCCTCTAAACTGATTCTGCTGGGCCAAACTGCAATCAAAGTAAGTGTGCCCAGTAACACTGCCTATTTGGTTGTACAGCAGTGAATGATTCATTGCCTATACAATATGAAATTGCTACTATAATTCCCCACTCTGAAAGGGTTTCCAGTTGTGCATTATCAGTGTACTTCACAGACTAAATTTATCTCTGATGCACTGTAGATACTATAGTATTTCTATTTCACAACAGGCTCTTGTTCAGAGACAGGGAAAAGCTTTGAGCACATGTGAGAGAGACCATTCGGAGTGGATACATACATTCAGGATATCTCACATTCATGGGGCTGTTCAGTTCCATTACTCCAACCTCCTCCCATATTACTGCCATTGTGGGATTTGCAGTTACTTTTCTCCAAAGAAGGTTTGAGTTGTATTAATCAGAACGTGCCCTATTTTCTTACAGATATTATTTCCTATTCTCCAGGAACGTTCAGACATGCTCGGCTCGGAGAGAGAATATTTCTCACAGGAGCGAGTTTTTGATTTTTTGCATTGTTGGCTCAGAACCAGAATATGATCTAGGCTTCTGTAATGCCCATTGAGCCTGGCAAACTGAACAAACATTGATGCACCAACGAAGAAAACAGCTAGCAAGAACGAAGACACAAGTTCAGAAATTAACATTTTTTGACAGATCCATTCAGCAAACGACAGGCTGATCAGTCAAAGGCGGTGATCTCTAAACTTCCCTTCAACCACAGCTGCCACGTCACAGCACAAGAAGCAGGCACACAACACAAGAGGTACAACAGTCAGAGCAGACATGATGCGGACACCAGGATCCCAAACTGCTGGTGTTATATATGTCATTTTTTAGAAACATTCCAGTGGTACAGTTGAAAATGAGGCCTATTTAAGCAAAACATTTCCATTTCAAATAGGATGTACAGTTTATGGGATTAGAAGGAACACGCTTCACAATCAACCTGAGCATTCTGGGGAGGGCTTGAGAAACTATTTTTGTACCACCGCACCCAAACGTAATGGGTTTTGCACAGCACGACGATCGCACTACTTTCTGCAGTCGTGGTTCTCAAACTTATTTGATCACGCCCCCCCCGGTGTTGTGTCTGTAATAGTTTCTGCCACCAATGGCAGCGCAGAAGTAAGGGTGACGTGGTATGGCATTATCACCCTTACTTCTCTGCTGCTGCTGCTGGCTCTGCCTTCAGAGCTTGGCACCCGGCCGGCAGCCACCGCGCTCCCCCGGCCCGGCGCTGAAGGCGGTGCCATTCCATACCGCGTTTACTTCTCTGCTGCAGTTGGCAGTGGTGCTGTCTTCAGAGCCGGGTGTCTGGCCTGCAGCTGCTGCTCTCCGGATGCCCAGCTCTGAATGCACGCAGTAAGTTTTTTCCCCTCTAAAGCTTCTCGCACACCCACAGAATATATTCCACACACCCCCCCTCCAGTTTGAGACCCCCAGTTCTATAGGACTGTCTCAGGACTTCAGGGTAGGCTAGCAAGACGGTCGTTAGGGATATATTCCAAGCTTAACTGACTGATTTCTCACACAAAAATGTGTGTGTGTATATACACACTTAAGGTTCTCCAGCCACCTGCTGCAGAAGTGGAGACCAACTGCTCTATTTCTTTTCATGGCTCTCTCTTGGAGGAAGTGCTTTCATTCTTAAAAAACTACCCTTTACTTTGGTTGCTTCATACCATGGGGCCTTGCCGCTGTGAGCTTTACTGGCCCCAAAGACTGCCTCTGACTCACATGAACCTTCAGAAATATTCAACGAGCTATGTGCATAAGTCTTTATTTTAAAGCTACTCATCTATTTGCCATTAGGTTTTCAACTCCATGCTTTACTTCAGGAATTATGGATGAAACTTTTGCTTGCTGTCCCCATCGTGTAATAACAGTTCAGACTATTGCTCCACAACATCTTTAAATTAAAATATTAAATCCACAAGAAGGTGAGGAAATTATACCCATCTCCAACAAAACAGTTTTCTTTGGTATTCTTGTAAATCAGTTCACTAAACATTGATTTAGAAAGAGACACAAAGAAGAGAGGAGTGTTGTGTGTCTGCCTGTCGGTAGATGGACTAATTATTTCCTGTCCTCATAGCAGTAGGCTGTACATTTGTAGTTATAAAGCCAACTATCTCAATAACATGCCAAATGACAAAACACGTGCATCTGTGCTGTAGAATACTACAGTAAGCAGTGTTTAGAAACAGTTATGTTTCATCAGAGAAAGCCTCTTGATCTGACATGCAGTTTCACCCCCTTCCTGACTCAGAAAGCACCTACTATACCATATGGATCCGCTTACATATTTTAATCCATGGACAGAGGAAAAGCCATGTGTATAGGGTCCATTTTCTGTGGATTCAGCTTACTAACACAGATGGCATATAAAAGCTGTGATTGCTCACACCACTGCTTTGCAAGTGAATCATTACTGGCTTCAATATATGCTTGCTCTGAGTCATATGAAACAGCAGACAGTGGCAGTATCTAAATCGTGCTTGTCATAAATATAAAGGGAAGGGTAAACACCTTTAAAATTCCTCTTGGCCAGAGGAAAAACCCTTTACCCTGTAAAGGGTTAAGAAGCTAGGATAACCTTGCTGGCACCTGACCAAAATGACCAATGAGGAGACAAGATACTTTCAAAAGCTGGAGGGGGGAGAAACAAAGTCTCTGTCTGTGTGTGTGATGCATTTGCCGGGAACAGAAAGGAATGGAGTCTTAGAACTTAGTAAGTAATCTAGCTAGATGTGCATTAGATTCTGTTTGTTTAAATGGCTGAGAAAATAAGCTGTGCTGAATGGAATGGATATTCCTGTTTTTGTGTCTTTTTGTAAATTAAGGTTTTGCCTAGAGGGATTCTCTATGTTTTGAATCTAATTACCCTGTAAAGTATTTACCATCCTGATTTTACAAAGGTGATTCTTTTACTTTTTCTTTGGCCGCTTGTGCATCCATCTCCATCTGTCTGAGTTCTACCCGTCTTTCATGTTCCTTTTGTCTTTCCTCAGCCTCAAATCTGGCTAATTCCAGCTTCTGTAGAACAGTGCAGTCTGTCATCCTAACCTCTCTGTTTTTAACTAACTTTACACCCGAGAGTTAGAAAGAAAACAAAAAAAAAAACTTGGCTTGTAAAATTTTGCTGTGCTGTCCAGATACCTATGTTCTCTGACAGTGATTGTCAGCCTACAGAAAAATCCTTAAAAAAAAACCTAACACCTTTGTCTCCAGGTAAATAGGCAGAAAACCCCTTTAGTTGTTATTAGGAAAAAAAAAAACTTCTTCAGGTCTGTGAAGACTTATGAATTTCCCTGCAGGAGGTTAACTACCCTGCCTTTAGGTATAGAAAACTCTAGCTCACAAAAGACTATTCCCTTTCGTCTCTGCTCTGGCCCCAAAGCAGAGAAAAAAACAAACTCTAACTGCTTGCAGCCGAAAACCTGCTTTTCAGCAGCCCAAAGGAAAAAAAACCTTCCTTTTTAAGATCTGTGCTTCTTGTTCAAAAAATCAAAATCCTTAAAAAAAAAAACCCCAAAACTAACACCTTTGTCTCCAGGCAAATAGACAGAACCCCCCCCCCCCAGTTGCTCTTTGGTAAAAAACAACTTCAGGTCTCTTGAAGACTTCTGAATTTCCCTGCAGGAGGTTAACTACCCTGCCTTTAGGTAGAGAAAACTCCAGCTCACAAAAGACAATCCCCTTTTGTCTCTGCTCTGGCCCCCAAGCAGAGAAAAAAAACCTCTGCTTTCAGTTTAAAACCTGCTTTCCAGCAGCTCAAAGGAAAAAAAAATTCCTTTTAAAATCTGTGCTTCTGGTTCAAAAAATCTCAAATTAATCTCAAAATGATTTCAAATTAATCCCACCGCTCTGCCACCATGTCAAGGTTCCTTCCCCACTCTGAACTCTAGGGTACAAATGTGGGGACCGGCATGAAAACCTCCTAAGCTTATTTTTACCCGCTTAGGTTAAAACTTCCCCAAGGTACAAACTATTTTACTTTTGTCCCTGGACCTTATTGCTGTCACCACCAAGTGTCTAACAGATATATAACCGGGAAAGAGCCCGCTTGGAAACATCTTTCCCCCAAAATCCTCCCCAAACCCTACACCCCCTTTCCTGGGGAAGGTTTGATAAAAATCCTCACCAATTTGCATATGTGTACACAGACCCAAACCCTTGGATCTTAAGAACAATGAAAAAGCAATCAGGTTCTTAAAAGAAGAATTTTAACTGAAGAAAAAGTAAAAGAATCACCTCTGTAAAATCAGGATGGTAAATTACCTTACAGGGTAATTAGATTCAAAACATTGGGAATCCCTCTAGGCAAAACCTTAAGTTACAAAAAGACACAAAACCAGGAATATCCATTCCATTTAGCACAGCTTATTTTCTTAGCCATTTAAACAAATGGCAACTAACACATATCTACCTAGATTACTTACTAAGTTCTAAGACTCCATTCCTTTCTGTTCCCGGCAAAAGCATCACACAAACAGAGAGAACCTTTGTTTCTCCCCCCCTCCAGCTTTGAAAGTATCTTGTGTCCTCATTGGTCATTTTGGTCAGGTGCCAGTGAGGTTATCCTAGCTTCTTTTTCCTCTGGACAAGAGAGATTTTAAAGGTGTTTACCCTTCCCTTTATATTTATGACAGTGCTAGAATTCAGATAAAAGATAATCAGTGTTTCAGAAAATTAGAAGACGAGTCTAATGCAAGCATTGATACAAAATATAATAGGTGCAGGGGAAAGTCAAGCTGTCAGGGAAGAAAAATGAAGGTTCGGATGTCTGTTACCGGAGGAGAGTTTCATGCTTTATTCCTAGATATTAAAATAAAGCAATGGAATAAGTCCTTGTTCTTTTCTCTCTTTACTTTTCATGTACCCCTTATATTTCATTTACTTGCACATGCCTGGTGCAGAAAATACCTTCATGTGCTTTACCGCAATGCATTGCAATGCTAGAAATTAAAGAAGGGAAAGTCCTAGAGGGCATCTTGTCTGTCCTGCATCACCAAACTGATGCTGGATTGCTCTATATAAGTGCAATATATTTATTATTATTACATACGCTACTGAGACAGGAACCATTGGCTAATGGTTAGAACCCAGGATGGAAGGTACTGAATTAGCACAATATAAGAAATTAGGTGAATAGATAGAATCAGGAGCCCTGGCCCCCCTACTGATTCCCTGATTTAGGCAAGGAATTTAACCTCTGTGTGAGTTCATCCTTTTGTTACCTACCTTACACACTAGGTTAATATATACCACAGGGAAGCTGAGAGATTTAATTAGGAATAATAGTAAAAAATATTTCAGAATTCATATAACATCTTTCTTCCATTGTTTTAATGTGCTTTACAGAGGCAAACGAATGTTTCTAAAGTGCTTTAAGATTCTAAGATGAAAGATACTGTATCAGCGAAAAATGTTATTTAGCGTCTGCAAGGTGAGACTGTCATAATCACATGGTGAAAACTTGCACTTGTAAATAAATTCCAATTACTATTAACTTCTGTCTCAAAATCAATATCTAAATATATTAATATAAAATAAGTAGAATACTTTACATACTCTTGCTATTTTCCCAGTTCCAATATAGTTTCTGTAGGAGCTTTGGCAACTCAGAGCTATAATTCCAAACTTGTGTGCTGAAAGTTCTACGTACATATACTGTCATGGTTAATTGGATTTGTGCACAGAACTCCCTATGCACCAATGTGAAAGTTTAGCTTGGAAACAGCATACCAATGGGACCCTGAATGTTTATCCTCAATGAAAATACATAGTCTGGCAATGTTTACACTCATCTTCCAAAGTTTATATTGATTTTGAGATACATACTGTACTGTGTGGGTGATTTGTACTATTCCTCATATTGAGGGAAAGAGAGTTTTCAATCAGATATTTGCCATTAAAGACCAGGGGCCATATCATCCATTGGTGTAGCTGCACTGACTTCAATTCTCTCTCTCTCTCTCTCAAACAGTTTACACTGGCTGAGAATCTGGTCTGGGACTTTTAATAAATCTTAGACAGAGCTTAATTTATTCAAATGAGAAAGTTAACAAAATTTAAAGCAGCAGATGGCTAGAGGAGTAAATAAACTCACTCACTTGACAGATACAAACTGATCTTCAAGCCCACAAACACAGACCGTAACCAGCTGCAGTGTGATAGTTGCAGGGGGTTCTTAAGATAGGCTTTTTAAAAATGTTGTTATAACTGTGCAAGGGAGGTTAGTTTTGCTAATCTGCATATTTGAGAGAGCAACACTAAGGCTTTGTCTGCACTAGGGTTTAACAGACAAAAAGGCCCGTGTGGATGCTCTTCCGCCGACATATCTACCGCAGCTCATAGGGGGTGGTTTAATTATGACGGTGGGAGACTGGCTACATAGAAGACCTTACAGTGGTGCAGCTGTGTGGTGTAAGGTCCGTAGTGTAGACATAACCAGTTTGATGAGGAACAGCGATAACACTGAAATCTCTAGATAAGATGCATCAGATACTTGGTTGGAGAAAAGCTAAAGAAAGAGAGCCCAAGCAGGAATTACTGCAGTGACATAGTGTTACAGAATGATTCAGTTATTTTGTGTACACACAGTATAAAGTGATGATTAAAAGCCTTAGCCACGCCAGTTTGGCTTTCAGTTTTGCTAGCAGAGCAATCTAAGGGCCAGAAATGCTGTTTGGAACTGCTTCAACTTTCTCTTTTCCTGAGTGGTAACATTCGTTCAGGTTTTTACAGGGAACGCTCAGGAGCACAGAGAGCAAAAATCAGCAAACGTTACCATTTGCAAATACATTGAACAACCCAGTTTGACCCGCTTATATATTTTTTTTTAAAAAAACAAACGGCGAAATCTCAGGATGGAGAGAAATCATCCCACCACAAACAAACCCGCCGTTTGATTCAAGCTGATTCTCTTGTCTGGCAGTTTTTGATTTAGCAAGTACCTTGTCCCTTCTTTTATGCATCAAGTCAGAAACAGTTTCTGGCAGCCTTGTATTTCATTTTGAGTAAGCAGTTTTGATAGAGGAGTGTTCAGGTTCTGCGCAGTATTCTTCCAACATACCAAGCTCTTTTGAACTCCGTTAAATACCTTATTCAACAACCAAACCCAAGTATTGTTTCTGTCTCCCTAGTCCTCCTTTATTCTTTCTTGTGCAGAGCATTTCCCCTTCATTTTCCAAAAGGATGGTGCAGATTATTTACACATTGGGAAATAGGGTTGGTTATGTTTGTTTGTCCATTATGAGGCCTACAGTATTTTCACAGCTGGATAAATCCAAACAAAAGATATTCATAAAAACGTATTGCTTCTATGTTCCTGGTTGTGCTCATCAAGCACTGGCCAAATGGTTATTTAATAACATGAAAGCATCACATGTATTTACATAAATTCTACTGTATGTCTTTGAGATCAGTTTCTCATACCAAGCCCAACCATTTTAACTTGGAGCAACATCGTTTGGCTATTCACTGTAATGCAGAAAAAATACTGAGCTAAATTCATCCATAACATTACTCCATTGGAGCCAATAACTATACCGTGTATAAACACGCATAGCTATTTACATAGTAATACTTTAAAACTGTGCTA